ATGCTCCTGAGGGGAAATCTGGGACTGGGAGTGTTTGGGGTCATTTTTAAGGCTAGTAAGAGCCAAGGTGTGGCTGGCTGGCTGCAGCACACAGAGACCTAGCTGGGAGTGACTTACAGGTTGGAGGCTATTTGTGTGCAGCGAGGCATTGTAAAGGGTACCCCAGGTCACAGGGCAGGGTTGACACAGCTACTCATTAGTCTAGATCGTACCTCAGTATGGCACAGGCATGCATATTGCTTTACAGGACCAGGCTTCTGCCCGGCGAATATTAGTCGGTGTCAGACACAGATGGCAATTAGCCATGCGTAGGGAAGGGCATGGAGAAGTCCAGAGTCACCTCTTGTGCTCCCCTTGCTAGTTCCTTTCCCCCCATGTGCACAGAGCCTAGCTCTGGGGAGTGGGTCAGGGTGAGTTCCCTGCCCTGGATCAGGGAATGGTCACAGTGATGCTGCCCTCCAGAGTTTGCAGTGGGCACGTATAATGAAGGAAAGGAGGGAGCAGAGTTTTCTTTTTCTCATTTGGCAGGAAGGCCCCTGTGATTACGAGAGAAGTTGTCTTTTCTCATTTCCTGAGCCTTTGCACCTGCTTTGGAATGCTGGCAGAGGGAGACATGGCTGCTCGGTGTCATGAGTCTTGGGTGTCACTTTCCAGAGCAGATGGGACACTTATAAAATAGCAGCATTTGTTATGGAAGGTTACAATACTGAGTCCCTTGGAGCGTTCCTGCAGGGGCAGAGTTAAGGTTGTTTGAGGGGTGTTGTGTGAGAAGCATTACCCTTAACTCTGTTTCCTGACTTTTTTAAGTGTCTGGGGTTTGTTGTTGTAACGTTAATGCTCTGTTTAGGGTTTGCACATGGCTCGAGGAACTGGGACTCTCGTCCACGTGTCTTGAGTACCTGTGGCTTAATCTGACCCTGGTGGCAGCAATCTTCACTTCACTTTAGCTATGTGCCATGTGTAAACCCAATGGATTTATCCCCTTTGCCCTTCTCTATGCTCCTGCGGGGAGGAGCTGCTGCAAACTGTTGGATCAAGCACTATGCTGTACGCTGAGCCGTTGCTGGGTGGGGCCCTGCTGCAGTGGAGACAGTCACTTTAAGAAGATCCCTTTGTAAAATGTTGCTCTGTCATCCTTTGTGCAGTGATAAGGAAAGCATCTGACCCTCCCTGGGACTGCGGCTCAGGGATTCTGAGGGGTGTGTTGCTCAGGGCTCCGGGCTTGCTCTGTAGGAAGAGGTGGGATGGCTGTGCAGCGAGAGCCGGGGGCAGGAGCCTACATGTCTGTGCATGCCATGTGCTGCGTTCCCTGTCTGCTAGTTCTACCGCAGAGCTGCTGTTCTGCCGCAGACTGCAGCTGTGTGAAGCTGGGAGCCATGTGCGCGCCTCCTCGACCTCACTCTGCAGGACGCCTGCTCCCATATTTACAAGCTCCTGGAGTTCACTGTGGCATTTCCCCATCCATTCCTTTGGCTCAGTTTAACAATCTCATTACGTAGGCCTCCGATCAGTTTTACTCTGCAGTGCAGGGATCTGCTGAATATTGAACAGTTGTGTGAGGTGCCGACTGTCTGTCATAGCCATGCTGTGGTCTGATTGCATCATGATCGAATCACAGCAGGCACCGCGTGGTGGTGCATTGCCTGTTTCCTGCTCACTGCAGGGGGAGGCAGAGGTGGGGATGTCCTGACACAGGAGGGCCCTTCCACGGTTTGCCCATTTGTTCCCAGATAGCTGTCCCGTAGCTATTCACAATGCCGTGCCCTGGCATACCTGTGTTGCTTTCATTAGTGGAGACTGCTGCAGCCTTGGCTCCATGTAATTCCGGTCTCATCTCCTTGCAGAGGCTTTTCGTGTGGCCGAATAAATCTGTGTCCTCGTCAAGCGTGTGCTGTATGTCCCTGGTGTCGAAGCGGGTGGGCGAGGGATGGAAGGAAGGGGATTCAGAATGAGCCGCACTGACTCGCTCCATTTACCGCTGTCTGCCATGGTCTGCGGGGGAGTTAGCAGGTACCTCCTCTACCAGGAAAATGGCTCAGGGGCAGCCCCGTGGCAGACGCTCTCTGACAAAACAAAGGCACCTGCTAACTTTCTGGGGCCTTCTTCGCTTCTGCTCTAAAATGTGTTTGGCTCCTCTCCTGCTCTGATCTCCAGGGTGGGGTCTTTCTCCCCAGCCTCAGAGGAGAGCATGACAGTCTCCCTGGGTGGACATCATCTTCCTGGCCATGGAGAGAGAAGATCCTGCGGTCCCCAACTAAGTTCCCTCTAAGCTGTGCGGCTGTGCAGCAGGCTATTAAGGGCCATGCAGATGGGGAGAGGTGCCCCTCCCCCAGCCTCGGAGCCGCCGCGGCCAGGATGAGGCGCTTCTCCCCGGGCTGCTGCAGCAAGAGAGAGCTGAGGGGAGTCCTTTCTCCCTGCCGCAGCCCCGGGGCAGCCTGCACCCCAAACCCCTCAGCCCCAGCCCCACCCCAGAGCCTGCACCCCCAGCCAGAGCCCTCATCGCCCCACACCCCAACCCTCTGCCCCATCCCTGAACTCCAAACCCCTCATACCTTGCCCCACCCCAGAGCCCACACCCCCAGCCGGAGCCCGCACCCCCCCACACCCCAATCCTCTGCACCACCGCTGAACCTCCTCTGCACCACAAACCCCTCATCCCTGGCCCCACCCCAGAACCTGCACCCCCAGCCAGAGCCCTCACCCCCCCACCCTCTGGCCCTGAGACCCCTCCCCCACCCCAAACCCCTCATCCCTGGCCCCACCCCAGAGCCTGCACCCCCAGCCAGAGCCCTCACCCGCACCCCAATCCTCTGCCCCAGCCCTGAACCTCCTGATGCACCCCAAACCCCTTGGCCCCACCCCCACCACACATCAGCTCCATATTGATGCACATAACAAAATTCATTCCACATATGGATCTAAAAAATTAGAGGGAGCGTTGGTCCCCACCAGGGTTGTATTCGTGCTGCTCTGGAATTCTGATAGTCTGAGGGGCAGCGTAGTTGCCCACGTCCCAAGCCATGCCTCCTGTAGCCCTTGCTCCCACCAAGCACACAGCACGCTGTCTGGCGCCATGCCTTTCCTAGGGGCTTCTCCTTTACAGAAACCAGTCTGTCTATCTGGTGCCTGCTGGAGTTGAAAAGTGAGAAGATAATAAGATAGAAAATATCATATTGCCTCTATATAAATCCATAGTACGCCTACACCTGGAACATTGCGTGCAAATGTGGTTGCCCCATCTCAAAAAAGATCTATTGAAATTGGAAAAGGTTCAGGAAAGGGCAACAAAAATTATTAGGGGTATGGAACGGCTGCCGTAGGAGGAGAGATTAATAAGACTGGGACTTTTCAGCTTGGAAAAGAGACAGCTAAGGGGGGGGGGTAGGATAGAGGTCTATAAAATCATGACTGGTGTGGAGAAAGTAAATGAGGAAGTGTTATTTACTCCTTCTCATAATACAAGAACAAGGGGTCACCAAATGACATTAATAGGCAGCAGGTTTAAAACAAACAAAAGGAAGTATTTCTGCACACAACGTACAGTCAGTCTGTGGAACTTTTTGCCAGAGGATGTTGTGAAGGCCAAGACTATAACAGGGTTCAAAAAAGAACTAGATAAATTCATGGAGGATAGGTCCATCAATGGCTATTAGCCAGGATGGGCAGGGATGGTGTCCCTAGCCTTTGTTTGCCAGACACTGGGATTGGACAACAGGGATGGATCACTCGATGATTCCCTGTTCTGTTCATTCCCTCTGGAGCACCTGCCATTGGCCTCTGTTGGAATACAGGATACTGGGCTAGATGGACCTTTGTTCTGACCCAGTATGGCCAGTCTTATGTTCTTATAAGAACGCATGGGAAAAAAACCTAAGGGTATGTCTACACTGTAATTAAAAACCCGCAGCTGCCCTATACTAGCTGTCTCGGGCTTGAGGGGCTCTGGCTAAGGGGCTGTTTAGCTGCAGTGTAGACCTTCAGGCTTGGCCTGAGCTCTGGGACCCTCCTTTCTCACAGGAAATTATAGACCAATCAGCCTAACTTCAGTACCTGGAATGATACTGGAACACATTATTAAGCAGTTTGTAAGCACCTGGAGGATAATAGGGCTATAAGGAATAGCCAGCATAGATTTATAAAAAACAAATCATGCCAAACCAATCGGATTTCCTTCTTTGACAGGGTTAGTGGATGGGGGGAAGCACTATCTTGATTTTAATAAGGCTTTTGACAAGCCCCACTTGACATTCTCATAAGCAAACTAGGGAAATCTGGTCTAGACGAAATTACTATTAGGTGGATGCACAACTGGTTGAACTTGAAAGACCATACTCAACAAGTGGTTATCAATGGTTCGCTGTCAAACTAGAAGGGTGTATGTGGTGGGTCCCGCAGAAGTCAGGAGTCAGCTGGGAGGGTGTGATGGGGTAATCTCCCCTTAAGGGTAATAGAGCCTAATGGTCAGCCCACCCCATCAGGTGGCCTGGCCCTTTAAAAGTTTGAAAAGTCCAGTAGTTGGACTGAGCCCAAGATGACAGATGTCCCTGGGTGTATCTGAGTAAGCGCCTCCTTATGGTTATGGGACAAAGGGCCGTGGGGTTGGGTGTGTGGCTAGCAGCTTTGGCCTTGAAGATTTAATTTGGAGTATTTACTATTCTAATTCTAGCTATCGTCGTTGTTAGACCAATGTCCTGTTCCTATATGACTCCTGCTGAGCTCTTGGCTTCAGTGGTATCCAGTGGCTGTGAGTTCCAGAGGCTAAGTACATGGGGTGGGAAATTTGAGACTCTTCAGTTTCATTGATAGGCCCTATCAACCTTCCCTAATATCATTCCTTCTTCTTACTATGTAAACCTCTATTGGGTTTACATTTATTCCTCTTGTAAGATAAACGGTCCAGTCTTTTCAGGCTGACTAGATGTTGGCTGTGAAGCTCTTTCTCTGCAGAAGCTGGGTCTGGTTTCTTATATTATATTCTGTGTGTTTGTATTTCCCTGCAGGGAAAGACCATGTTTGCAGATTTATCGGCTGTGGAAGGAATGAGAAATTTAATTACGTGGTCATGCAGCTTCAGGTGAGTTCTTCTGTTCCTTGTCTCAGAGACACCTGGGCTTTGCCGTTGTTCCCAGTCAGCAGGAGAGTGAGGATGAGAGTTGGGGTGGAGGTTGGCTGGATGGGGGAGGGGGATCTTTTGTTGCCTTTCAGATCCCTGCGTGGCTCAGCATGAGACTCTCCCCTTCTGTATAGTCAGCACCTCCAAGAGCCTACAGAGCTATTGGGGCTCTGTGTAGGGCCCATAACAAAAGCAGCTGTCCCCACAACAGGCCTTTGCAGGTGAAGAGATGAAATCACTGGCTGGGATTGCTGCAAGGGGAGAGACAGCTGATGGAAGGCCTCCTGGGGGAGGGGAATAACCTCTAGTGAATGGAGATTTAAAGCAACACCTTCATCTTGGTAGTGAGCCTGTTTCAAACAAACAGTGAGTTAAAAGCAGATTTATATTTGATGCCTGCCCCAGAGTGTCTCTTGGCCAGTGTTGGGGGTTTTACTATCACATTTGCCTGTCGATTATTATTTATTGTATTGTTTGTGTGACAGTAGCACCCAGAAGCGCTGACTGTCCTCAGGGCTCCATTGCGCCTGGCGCTGTATAGCCATAAAATAAAAGACCCTCTCTGCTCAAGAGAGTTTACAACCGAACCAGGCATGATGTGACAGATGGGTGCAGAACACTGTGAACGGAAGGTGAGGGTGACGGTAACAAGTAATAGGAAGTCAAAGTCTCATAGAATCATAGAATATCAGGGTTGGAAGGGACCTCAGGAGGTCATCTAGTCCAACCCCCTGCTCAAAAGCAGGACCAATCCCCAATTAAATCATCCCAGCCAGGGCTTTGTCAAGCCTGACCTTAAAAACTTCTAAGGAAGGAGATTCCACCACCTCCCTTGGCAACGCATTCCAGTGTTTCACCACCCTCCTAGTGAAAAAGTTTTTCCTAATATCCAACCTAAACCTCCCCCACTGCAACTTGAGACCATTACTCCTTGTCCTGTCCTCCTCTACCACTGAGAATAGTCTAGAACCATCCTCTCTGGAACCACCTCTCAGGTAGTTGAAAGCAGCTATCAAATCCCCCCTCATTCTTCTCTTCTGCAGACTAAACAATCCCAGTTCCCTCAGCCTCTCCTCATAAGTCATGTGTTCCAGACCCCTAATCATTTTTGTTGCCCTTCGCTGGACTCTTTCCAATTTATCCACATCCTTCTTGTAGTGTGGGGCCCAAAACTGGACACAGTACTCCAGATGAGGCCTCACCAATGTCGAATAGAGGGGAACGATCACATCCCTCGATCTGTTCGCTATGCCCCTACTTATACTTATCTACTAGCCAAGGGTACAGTTTCTCTCATTCACTCATATTATTTAATTTAAATTAAATGATCTTTATATTATCTTTAAATTAAATAATAAAAGTGAATGAGAGAAACGGGTAGATCACTAACCAAGCACTGCCTAGCCAGTAACGTTTGACAGCTTTTCAGTGGGCATTGCAGCAGAGGTGGGTGAAGAAGGGAACTGAAGGGTTAGAGGAAGAGGCTGTGTGAATTAATTAGGGGAGGGTGTTCCATGCATAGGGGGCAGCATGGAAGAGGTGCCAAGGTACTTGGGGGTGGGGAAGCAGAGAAGCAAGTGATGGTGGCTGCCCTGGTTTATGGAGCAAAGAGGCTGCTGAGATGTGCCATATACCAAGTACTGTCAAATACCCAGAGCAAGCAAGTTTTGGCAGATAGAAAAGTAGCGTTTCCACCAGGGATCTTATGTGGCATAGGTAAAGATAATAGGTAAATGCTATTCAGAGAGAATTTGTGACTTTTTTGTTATCTTGACCATGCCCCTTCAAAATAAACTTCTCATTCTTTTAAAGTGTACTTCTTACCTGAGGGCTTGTCCCCTGTGTCTTCCTCTTGGTGCTGGATGCAGTCGGCACCTCTTCTGTCTAGGGGAATCTTGCATCACTCAGAATGCAGTGGGTGCAAGGCCTTTTCTAAAGGACAGTGAAATCCATGGAGGCCAGGCTGAAAATGTACCTCCTTGGCTGCTCCATGGGCCCCATTGGACCCTCCTGGAACAGCCGTCAACAGGTTCTGAAGAGTGGGCCTAAAAAACCAGCACCTTCTAACTTCCCTTGTCTGTTCCTGCGGACCTCCAAAGTCGTTCCTGCTGCTTTTAGTAGTAGCAATTTTAACCTTCTAACCCATGCTAGCCCTGCAGTGCCAACACAGCTGTACAAGAGTAACTGCGGCCTGAGAGCCTCTACAGAATTCTCTTAAGATGTAATTGCAAGACCCAATTCTGCCCCACTTCCACCTGTACAAGCCCCCAAAGACAATGGGACATGGAATAACTTTTAGTCCCAGAAGTTTCTCCATTGCTTGTCAAAATCAACTCTCATGGGGCTGCTCCAGAGCTGCCGTCTCACTGCCTCTCCTGGGACGCTCTGCAGGACCCCCAATTCCCTGGCACTGCAGGGGACTTTCTCGTTAGACCAGCAATACTCAGGCTCTCCTTCTGACTGTTGCTACTTTGGAGCGATGCTCCTTGCAGCTGCTTCTCGACCAGTTCGGTGTTGCTGATATAATCAGGGCACTTCAGTTTCACTGCTGCCTCCCAGACTTTTGCAGAGCTGCTCCTGTTTCGTAGCTTCCTTTGAGGCCATCCTGGACCACCATGGCTTTCCATGCCCCTGGGTAGCTTTATTGACGAGAGACCATGCGTTTGTCTCCCTCACCTGCCATGGGAAGATTGTGGGTCAACAAGGCAGCCTTCGAAGTGTGCAGTTTTTTTGGCTTTTTCTTAAAAAGATCCCCCATGATTCCAGTAGTATAAAATGAGGACACGAGAGGCCCCAGAAACAACATCCTGGTAACAGGACAGCTCTGGCTGCACTCCACAAAGCCAGAACGTTTGGAGTGGATAAAAAAGCTGTGCTCCCTGTTCTTAACTCACACAGACCGAGAAAAAGAAAAGGCTAGAGAGCCAGGTGCAGCCAAACCCTTAGTGCTTCCTTAGTGACTTGGTTCTGGGAGGGGCATGGATGGAGACCCAGGTTGTTTCATTGGGTTTGGGTGTGATCTGTAGGGAGCCTGTAGGCACAAGTCCCCAGGAAGCACCTGCAATCCTTTCTAGCCCCATTCCTTCATGAACTTGGCTTGACTCATCCTTTCTATGTCCGTGACATTTCATATGTTTCTGAGGGGTAGAGATAACAGGGTTCTATAATACAGTGTTATCAGCACACCGCAAATAATTCCTGTGTTTATCGTAGGTCCTCTGAACGTTTTCAATAACACAGTTCGGCCTTCTGCCAAAGGAATTCTTTTCCTAGGTGCTTTTGATTAGTTGATAGCCTTCCCTGATGCTGAAGATTACCTGGAGAGTGCTTTATCAAAAGGATTACACATCTCAAAATCCACTTTTTGTTGGACCATCAAAAAAGGCATAGGCAGAGTTCAGAAGACAAGGATAAATAGAACCCTGTGATTTGGATACATAGTCCATCCTTAGCTTTCATTAAATTGTCTTTAAAGCTATTCATGAGGATTAGAACAGGGCCCCTGAATGACCTGTGGTTTTATATCTGTAAAAAAGCTCACATAATGACAGTATGTAACAGGAGAGGAAGCAGCTACAAAAGGTTCTGAGAGGGAAATTTCATACTTAAGGTAGCATTCCCAGAGAAAAAATACATGTTGAAGGTGATATGTATGCCCCTAAACTCTATCTTAGCCAGCAAGTGAGAGGATGTAACTTTCCAGATAGCAATTGTATCTGCCCCAAATCAAAACAGCAACAAGTAGTCAGTTGCACCTAGTATATTTCAACTCCTAAAAACAGGGTTTACTTTATTAGGCAGTTTACCTTGCAATCTTTAGTCTCCTTCGGTCTTTTTCAAGTACAGCGTCTACTCCCAATCCACTCCTGGTCTAGCACTTGCAGAGAACTCTATCTATGTCGGCGCTGACTCAGGTAGTGTAAAGAGAAAAAGGAATGAGACAACATCAGCCATTAGGGCTCAAATGGAAAGGTAAAAGAGAGCAGGTGGCCCAAAGGAGCGTGGCTGCAGTTCAGATCCGCACCCCTTCCTGGCTCCTAGAGCCTGGAGGAGGTTTTGGCTGGGGAGCTGTGCTCCTGTAGAGCCCCTGCCTTGTGGTGCACTCATTGCTATTTGAATTTTTGCTGTGGGAGCCCTGAGAAAGAAAGAAGCTGTGTGTTTGCTAGGGGGCACTCGTGGACTGCCAGGACTGCCACAGTGAGGAGACGCAATCAGCCGACAGAGTTGCCAGCTCTTGGGATTTGATCAAGTCACACAGTAGCTGCTCTTCTTTTAAAGCTGCCCCTGATTTTTTCCCGCTGACTTCTTGTGAATCGCTGCCCCTGTTAAAAACGGACACTGGTCTCATTACGGCCCGTGGGACTGAAGTTAGGGCATGCTCTGAGTCAAAATAGCTGCCACAGCCCTGTGCAGTTTGCAGGTGGAAGTGATGCAGCCCCTAGTAAAGATGGCCACTATTTCCCATAGATTCAGTGGGATTGAAGCCAGCCTTCCCTTTGGGAAGATGGCCAACTCCTGAATTCTGTGGTTAGGAAATGGTGAAGAGACAGGAGAATATGGCATGCAGGAGGGAGACTTCGGGGGTGGAAGGGATCTTGGGAGGAGACAGAAGGCTGTGTGGAGGTTAGAGGGAGAGTGGGGCCATAAAGAGGAAGATTGGGTGTAAGTGGGGGAATGATAAAGGTGCAGAGGAGTGTGGGGCAGAGCAGGAGAATGTAAGGGGTAGAAGCTATAGGGGCAGGTAAATGAAGAGGGTTGGGGGGGGAATAGGATGTTGTGGGGGAGGATATGAGTGAGGCAGGACACTGGATGGAGCAGGGAAGGTGGCTGGGTGGGGGATAGGATGGCAGCTCCCTTAACCCAGGGGATATGAGAATAGAAGGGCAGTCATTTTTGTGTGCAGTGAGGGTGAATTGTGAACCTGAAATGATCACGCACAAACTGGGAATGGTGGCCTGTCCCGACAGCACTGAGAGCATGGCGTGCTTCCTTCTTGTTTGAAAACCTCATGACTTTTAAGCCCATCTTATGGTTTTTATATTTTATTTTTTTTTATCCTTTGGGGTCTGACTCGTGATTTTTAACCACTCAGGGCTGGATTTGCTTGTTTTTGTTTTTTTTTTTAAATCAAGGCAAAGGTTAGAAATGTGGGTGATAAATGCTGAGATATAGCCAGGAATCGTACACCTAATCTCTGAGGGAAAACGATCCAGAACGCAGGTAACAGGCAAAGCTGCGAAGCTGGTGGGTGGGCGCTTGCATTGCATTATGGCAGGGAAAGGGTACTGGTGAGTTTAGGTTCCATGTGCAAAGGACCAGGTCACAGAACAGAAAGAGGCAAAACCAAACACCAATCATGCAGCCTGGCAGCACATTCCTGAAACTGGGGCCTGGGGCAATGCCAACAAGCTCGGCTGCAATGCCTGCTCCACACGGCAGCACCAGCAGGGTTAACACCAGTTAGTCCTCCATGTGGGGGAATGTCCCCTGTGTGGACAGGCATGCTGAGGGGTGACTAGACTGTGGGGTGGAATTTCTGGCCAGAAGGGACCATTCTGGTCAGCTAGTCTGGACACGGGCAGGGGCCATAGTTTGCGGCAAAGAGTGGTATGGAGGCAGATCTGCAGCTTGCCATGTCTGTGCTGGGATTTTACAGTGCATTAGTGATTCCATCTGAAAACAGCTGTTTCTCCTAGTTTGGACGTGGTCATGGAGTGAAGGTGGGGGAAGCAGTTCAGGGGACGCGACTGTGGTGGAGTGGGGAAGTGAGGGATGTGGATGAGGAGATGGGACGGCAGTGGAGTGGACATAGATGGGTGGACATGACTTTGGTGGAGTGAAGGCAACTGTTGCTGGGTGCGGAGTGAAGCGGGAGGTGAGTCTATAAGAGAAAAGGCGAGGGAATGCATGAATGAAGGCAGGGCAGAGGGAGAAGGGGCGGAGTGGGAAAGCCTGTGCGTGTGGTTTCTGGCACACAAGAAGAAAGCTCATCATTTCTGGGGGCTCATTGAGGCCTGTGACCTGGTTCTCACATGTATGCTTACATGAATTTAATGTAGTGGTCGTAGTTCAGTATTCTGCTGAACTGATAGCCTTTACTTAGACTCTGAAATGAACGGAGGAAGAGGTTAAATTACCACTTACTCATGAGGAAAAAAATAATCTCGCCAGGAAAAATTGCACTCTAGCAACTCTGTATCTGGCCTGCTTCTTAATACAAGAGCATTGCTATGCCTGGACTTGCATGAAAATACTTACATGAAGCTCACACCCAGAGGAGCGGGTGTCTTGCGGGGGGCTCCTAATGGAATTGGTTCCAAAAGGCGTTAACAGCCAATGGGCGCTTAGCTCATTGACCACCCTTGTGACTGGCTGACTCTCTGGCCTTTCTGTTGAGCTTCCAGCCCAGGGCTGAATAGGTTGGGACACTGAAATGGGAACCATCTGTATTCAGCACTGTATCTCGGTCTCTGTGAAGTCTGCTCTGCTACTGTCCTTCCCAGGCCTGGTGTGAAGACAGGTAAATGGGGTTCTTCAGCTTCCAGAGCTGTCAGTCTGGCACCTTTTTATCAGCAAGTAATTCACTGGAAAATGAAATCCAAGAAATAACTCAGACCTAGGTGTACGCACATCTCTGATTGGGTGGGGATAGGGAGGGGAGTGTGTGTGTTAAGCCTTGGTGCTGTAAAGCATTCTCTGTCTGGGTGTGGATTAAATGTAGCAAATGGTGTGTGGAGGTGTTGGGGTACACGCCGTATTAATTGTTTCAGGGCCGGAACCTTGCAGACCTCAGAAGAAGCCAGCCTCGGGGGACTTTTACGCTGAGCACAACCCTGCGATTGGGCAAGCAGATTCTAGAATCCATAGAAGCCATTCACTCTGTGGGATTCCTGCACCGGGATATCAAGCCGGTAGGTAGTTTTCAAAGAATTTGTCAACTTTAAGATTGAGTCAACAGTCATCCCGATGGCTGGGTCAGTGGGAAGTCTTGGCTGGCAGAGACAACTGTGTAGCCCCAGTCGTCATGCAAGAGAGGAGTAGAGTGACGTACTCCCCAGCCACCCCTCTCTAGAAGAGGCCACTCCACAGTGGGTCTGTGGCTCTGGTGTCATGCTGCCCCCCAGTCAGGTCAGATTCTGGGGGCAGGCTGCCTCCAAGTATTATTCTGGAATCCAGCCCATCACTGCTAAGCAGCTGTTACATAGGTTCAGAAAGGTCACGTCATGCATTTGTCTTTCCTAAAGTAAACCCCCTTTCCGGAGCCATTATTTCACAAGCAGGGGTATCTGCATGTCCTGGCAAACAGACCAGAGGTGCAGGGGACCCTGTGTTGGCTTCTGGGGAGCTCTCTGTGCTGAGTGCAAGCAGAAGGCGAAAAGACAATAGCCTGGCTCCTCCGCCTAGGGAGGAGTGACGCCCCACCCAGAGTCAGGGTCAGCCCTCTTCTTAGGACTTCAGCGGGTAACACACATTCCATATCCACACTCCCTTCCCCTAACCTGAGGCCTTCTGCAGGGGCTGTCTGTTCCCTACAAGTTTCTGCTCTATAGACCACTTGCCTGAGAGTCAGAGCCTACTCCAGAACCTCCTGTAGGAGCCAAGCTGTTTCCTGTAGCTCTCCCCACCTTGACCTTGGGACTTCCTGCCAGGGCCTCTTTGCTCCTGGCTGCTTTCTCCCTAGCCAATCCATCTCAGCTGGGAGGTGTGACAGGGCCGAATTCTCAGCTGGTGTAGGTCAGTGTCCTGCCATTGACTTGCTGTGCCTGTTTACTCCAGCTGAGAATCAGACCCAGCATGGCAGAGTTATGTGCAGCATAGTGTGCTCTCGTAACTATAACATGAAGAAGAATGGCAAGCACTTTCTGCCCATAGTAACCCCAGGCTGAATGGGGATGCTCCTGGTTCACTACAGAGCTCAGGATGTGGAGTATATATATTTCCCATAGCTGCCAAAGTTTTGCTGAGATAACACGCACTCTGGTTTTATGGTTATTATCTGGATAATCCGTAGCCACTGTGACAGGGTCAGGCCAGATGGCTACAGGAGAGTGATAGAAGGCAGTTATATTAGCCCCAGATTAAGTAGGTCCCTTTTCCCTGGGTAAGGTAACAGGGAAGGTTCCAGAGCAATCAGGAACCTTCTGGAGACAATTAAGACAGACAGGCTGATTAGAACACCTGCAGCCAATCAAGAAGCTGCTAGAATCAATTAAGGCAGGCTAATCAGGGCACCTGGGTTTTAAAAAGGAGCTCAATTCAGTTTGTGGTGTGCGGGTAAGGAGCTGGGAGCAAGAGGCACTAGGAGCTGAGAGAGAACACAGACTGTTGGACTGAGGAGTACAAGCATTATCAGACACCAGGAGGAAGGTCCTATGGTGAGGATAAAGAAGGTGTTGGGAGGAGGCCGTGGGGAAGTAGCCCAGGGAGTTGTAGCTGTCACACAGCTATTCCAGGAGGCACTCTAGACAGCTGCATTTCACAGGGCCCTGGGCTGGAACCCAGAGTAGAGGGTGAGCCCGGATTCCCCTGAAACCTCCCAGCTCCTGGTCAGACACAGGAGGAGTTGACCTGGACTGGGGGTTCACAAAAACGGCCAAACTGAGGGCTACCGTGAAGCTCCAAGGCGAGCAAATCCGCCAATAAGCGCAAGACCCACCAAGGTAGAGGTGTCACACCACCTGTCTTCAAACTGAATTTTAGGTGGGGGAGCCTTGACCCCCGTTCACTGCAGGGTTGCTTCTCTACTCCTTGGGACTCACTTTGAGCCTCTGACTTTCTCTGCCTGGGGGAACCAAACATGTTAGCAAATAAACTGGGAACTCATGGTGCTGCCTTGACATGCACTGTGTTCCTGCCTGAGGCATCTCTCGGTGGGGTGGTCGGGAGAGTACCGAGTTTTGTGTGATAATGGCTGCTGCTATCCAAACTGATTATTTTATTCTTTTCCTTTTGGCCAGTCCAACTTTGCCATGGGTCGCCTGCCTTCAACCTACAGGAAATGCTACATGTTAGACTTTGGTCTGGCCCGGCAGTACACCAACACCAACGGCGAAGTCCGGCCAGTAAGTGACACCTTTTCCAACTCTGCTTCCACTCAGGCAAGGAAAGGGGTTTTGTTGTTTTGTTTTGCTATGACATATATTGGGACTGCTTCTCAGGCTGGGTGGGGGTGGGGATGGATTGTGTTTGAGCAGGAAATGGAGGCATCTTGCTATTGTCTGAGAAATGTGGGTTTTTTCCATGCTAACGGTTTTCCACGATGTGCTTGGGCCAAGCAGGTGGGAGGCTAGAGCTGTCTGAGCTGGTGGCCTCCCTCCCCGCCCAGTAGAACAATTCCATTCATGTCTTTGTCTGGCCTAGTCTGGGGAATAGAGCTGAGCATATTCTTTAGAGTTGTTTGTTCGCACGGCAGCGGGTGTCTGAAGAGGACATTGTTCTCCCAATACACTGAGTGTGATGTGGTTCACCAAGACGCTGGGCTGTCACCCCTGCCAGGAGCGTTGTTCCTTCCCCTGTCTGGCTTTGTCTCTGTGCATATTGTCCCTTTCATATTTCTGAGTAGGGGGCTGAGGGTGGTTGCTCAGAGTCAGGGAGAGGGGAAGTAACTTGCTCTCCTCGATGTGTGTGGCATATCCAGCCCTCTTGCTTAGTAATGCATTGTTTGGGCTCAGCCATGAGTGCAGAGCAAGCTCCAGAGATGTACGTTCCACCTAGATCCCATTAAGCTTCCGGCTGAGCACTCCTGGCTTTGCCATTGAATAGGTTGCTCGTTCTCCCAGGACCAGGCCTTGGCGAGCTCCAATAATCTGTTTGGCTGGCAGCCCAGTGTCGCACCTTTTGGCTTCAGAGCCTCTTATATCCATACACGCTGGCAGCCACGCTGCCTCTCCACAGAACCCCATCCTAACTCATCCTGAAAGTCCCAGGCTTTGGCCCAAAGTGCTTCTACCCTGAAGGTGGGGTGGAGCCTGCTGGGCTCAGGGCCTGAAAGCCTGAGAGCCCAAGCTGTGGTTCAGTGAGTGGCTTCCCACTGCTTTGGGCGAGTCTGGCTAAGCAGACTATGGGTAGCAGCTAGGTCCCACCGGTCACTACTGCAGAGAAGGCAGAACTGGGGCAGTTGTGGGGATGCTCCTCCCTTATCTGATATGCCCCCCCCGGCTCCATATCTGATATGCCTCCCCCCGGCTCCAACCATGTCCTGCCTGGAGGGGGGCTCCAGCAGCCCCTATGGACTCTGCATTCAGGAGTTTCTATTAGGTGTGTGTGTCAGGTGGTGGGGAATTACCAAGTGTAGAAATCTACACAGAGACTTCCCTCATGGTATTCATTGTTATAGCCTGTACCAGTGCTGGTGTCGTCAGTAAAGTGTGTTAGAAAATCAAACCAAAGCAGCACAGAATAAAATCCTGTTTAGCGTAAGGGCACAGTTATGTCTGAGCCACGTCAAATTGCCAGGGAGTCACCCTTGGTATGAACACTCTGCGCTTATGCCAGCTATTAGACTGGAGCATGTTTATCATGGGTCTCTGCACCATGGGGGCTGGACTGATATTTGAGCAGGGCTGGACATTCCCTTGGTAACAAGACTATCCAGAGTTAGCACAGCGAATGTTACCAGTATTTCTGGGAAGGAGATTGATCGTCCTGCTTCAGGGCTTAAACCAATTTCTAACCATTAGAGACAAGGATGAGACCTTCCTGGGATGAGATTATCCAGCTGTTCCTGTGGGGCTTCTTGCACCTTCCAGTTGGGTTTAAGATATCACACTGCCGCCCATCTCCATAGTATCTGGTCATCTTCCATGTAAAACCAATAGCAACAGTGAAGTCCCCAGGGGCCTCCATGGAGACTCTGGCCCTCCCCCTTTTTTGGGGTCAAAGCTGTGCTTGGATAGGGGGTTTGAGCTGGTTGGCTGATTGACTTGTTATTGTGGGGCAGTTTGGGTTGATTGCTGAGGGTGACCACTGCCCGAGACAGAAGAGTGACTTCATGGAGCTCAGGTCTGATCCGATCTGACAACTCCTGTTCTGTTTCACTGACAACCACCATTTTTCAGATTTTTCTGACCCCCTCCCCCTCAGATCACAGCACTTCAAGGGCCCCATGAGGTGGAGAAGTGTCATCTCACCCCACATGGTCTTTTCCGGCCAACCACTTGATGAGACTGACATCTGTCTGTGTGTTCCGTCCCCCTACAAAAACTTTGGCTGTCTTCTCAAGCCAGTCATTCTACTTTGGTCCTACTCTCACCACGCACACCTCCCGTCACACCAACTCATCCAAACAGCCCTTGACCCCCACTCTCTAACTGCCCAAGTTGGCCACCGGGAAGGAAATTTGTCTTGTGAACCGAACAGCAGCAACACCACACTGGCTCTGTGGAGAGGCTGTGCCAGCAAGATGCTCTGAGCTGGAATATGACTTTAAGGCATGTCCATTCTGGGGCCTGCCTGCCTTCACTGAGACCCCATTAATCACCACAAGCAGCCCCTAACACATTCAGACAAACTGATAAGAGTTTGCATTATTCTATTATAATCCCATTGAATTCAACTGATTTTCCCCTAATCCCCCTCTGTCCAAGCTTCTTGACTGAGAGTGAGTTGGTGGTCTAGTTTCCAGGAAGGCTTCACCCTTCAGCCCCTCTCCTTTGAAGTTACGGGGTTCCTGTCTCCTTGGGGGTGCCTGCAGGGAGTTACCCAGACAGCAGCAAACACAACAAACACAGGATTGAATGGCTAAAAACATGGAGATGGAATGAAAACAAAAGACAGGGTTTGCCTAACCACGGTAGACTGACACTTCTCCTATGTGAATCAGAGATGGCGTTTTCTGCTTCAAGGAAAACAAGCAAAGGGAATATGTGCCTTGACAACTGTCCCATCTCAGGCCATTAGTGCAATAATTGGGTGTCAAAGCCAGTTCCTCAGAGTAAATTTCATAGTCTAGTGCTTGAAAGTAGACTGTGCCAAACAGGATGCAGGAGGAAGTATCAGAGAGTCTGGTGCTGAAAGGAAATGGAGACCAATATTTATTTAGTTTTTAGTATTTTATGTTCATTATATGCCCCCACCCCCCCAGCATCATGGTGGGCTGTGGAAGGGGAGTTAAATGGAAGTTTACTACGCTATTCTTTCTTTCTGTGAACGGATAGAGTCCTCAGAATGCTCACGCTGGTTAGATTGCAAACCTCCTGGGGTTCCCCTTTATCCTGAACAAAACCAAACCTTATCTAAGCTTTCCCCAGAGCTGCCTGTTTCCAGAGTCTTCCTGCAAGACATCCAATCCCTCTCCTGCTTTGGAGACTCTCCACCTTTCAGCCACCAGAGCTGGAGCTAGTGAGACCCAGCTGCTATGACTATCTGACTGCCAGGGTGAGTCAGCAGAATAGCCCTGCATTTTCCTGCCGAGTCCTAGAACCTGCCATCCTGTCACATGCCCCTTAAATAACATCAGCACAGGTAGCTATTTTCTGCAAAATGCGTACACACTAAAGACGTACCTGAAGGGCCTTTTGCTCTTAGAGCTGGCAAAACTGATTGTAGCTCAGCTTCCAAAGGTGTGGGCCAGGAGTACAACACTCAACTTAATTTCTCAAAATGCTGGAAAGGTTGTTTTAAAGTGAGATGATTGAGAGGTAAAGAGAGAGAACCCACAGCAAGAACTACCTGGCAAAATGGCCTTTACGTTACTAAAAAAAAAAAGAGACTATGACCGGTTCGGTCACAGAGAACCCCTTGGGACTGTCATCTGATGTGCTGAAATTACCTCTGAGCCTGTTTCTGGGCCTCAATTTCCTTGTCTTAATTCCGTCTGCCTTTTGTGTTCATTTTCCCTCTCAGCAATCTGTGCACTTCTAGCTTCTTCTGAGCTTCACTCTCACTCATTTTGCTTACTTTTCTGTCCCTATTTCCCTTACCCAAAATAAGCAAACAGAAAATAACAAATCAGTAACCACTTTGTCTGTTCTCCAGCCACCACACTTAAAACTCACTTAAAATCACTACCAGCGTCTCGGAGCAATCAGCTATGCACATATCCTGCCGACTACGCCACTGTGACAGGTTCGGTCACAGAGATCCCTTGGGACTGTCACCTGACGTGCTGAGAAATTACCTCTGACCCAGTTTTTCCTGCCAGCTTGGGACTCCAGAACCCTGCTTTGTTGAGCCAGATATGCTAGCCTGCTGTAGCACAGACCCAGGGTCTGCGCCACACCCCCAAAGCTGCAGGCTTTAACTAAAAACAGCTCAGCAGTCACCTAACTCCAGCACCCAGACACCCAGTTCCCAATGGGATCCAAACCCCAAATCGTTTTACGCTGTATAAAGCTTATACAGAATAAATTAATAAATTGTCCTCCCTCTATACCACTAATAGAGAGATAAGCACAGCTGTTTGCTCTCCCAGGTATTAATCACTTACTCTGGGTTTATCAATAAACAAAAGTGATTTTATTAAGTATAAAAAGTAGGATTTAAGTGGTTTCAAGTAATAACAGACAGAACAAAGTAAGTCACCAAGCAAAATAAAGCAAAAACACGCAAGTGTAAGCCTAATACATTAAAAAACTGATTACAGGTAATATCTCACCCTCAGAGATGTTCCAATAAGCTTCTTTCACAGACTAGACTCCTTCCTGGTCTGGGCCCAATCCTTTGCCCTGGTACAGTCCTTGTTAGTTCCAGCAGACATCTCAGGTGGCAAGCAGGGGTTTTCTCATGACTGGCTGCCTCCTTTGTCCTGCTCCACCCCCTTTTTTAGCTTTGGCACAAGGCAGGAATCTTTTGTCTCTCCTGGTCCCCACCCCTCCTGCTAAATGGAAAAGTACCAGATTTAAGATGGATTTTAGTATCATGTGACATGGTCACATGTCACTGTAAGACCCCCTAGTCTCCATTCCCCATGGGCTGGCCCACAGGTACACAGGAAGGTTGTAGGTCAATAAACCATTTACAACCAATTGTCCTAGTCAATGGGAGCCATCACGATTCTATTAATGACCATTAATGGCCCACACTTTGCATAATTACAATAGGACCTCAGAGTTATACTTCATAT